CCGTAGCACCTGCCAGTCGCTCACAAATCATGTGACGTACGGACACCTCTACCTGGCATTGCCCACTACTGCACTGCACCGAGTTGGGCGGGGAGGCAACCGCGCTAGCGTGGGGTGGCGGTATGTGAGTGTGCGATGGTCTGGGCGGTAACGCCGGGCGTCGTCTTGCTCCATACAGCTCCAGTATACCGCAGCATCTCCCTTATCTCGAATTCCTTCAGCATTTCAGCAGCCCCCCACTCCCACCCCACCTCAGCCCTTCCCTCCCACGGGGCCCTCTCCGTCACTCCTTTGAGTGGTAACTATCCATCCAACGGCCGTTCACAAATAACTAGCCGACTTTGATGGAGGAGAGGGGTGTTTTCTTCTTATCGCACGACTTATTCGATGCCAAACTGAAGCACCTCAAGAATAAAAAGTTGAAAAATTTCATGGGTCCATGAACATCTCAGAAGTTTGATGAAACCACGAAATAGCCAAACCCCTCAGAAACGGAGGGTGCCTGTGCGTACTTTGAGAATGGGTACCCAAATATATGACACTTTGAATATAACGCTATTCAAAGGGTATTAAGTTTAATATCATTTTCACCCAACCTCTCCACCTCTCCAACCGACATGAAAACATGGCAGCAAAAATGGGTCGCAGACAAATACGGCAATTCAGTGTAAACTGTCCTCCTGTCGTGTCGGCCCCTCCACCCCACCCCTTTTGTCCCGAGGCAGACACTAGACATAAATCTAATTCCATTTAAATTTTAATTTGAATTTCAAGTTAGCTCAGCAACCAACTTCATTTTACTGGTAAATATACAACTTAATCATGGAATTTTACACTTATTTTCTTGAGATTTTTATTTGGGCGTCTGTCTCTTTATCTCTGTCCCATCTCGAGCTACGTCACATCGCATACCGCTCGCGTTGAAATCATTTCTCCTGTTTTCCTCCCGCGAGCTCCTGTCTCCATTTTTCCGCCACCCCTGCTCTCTCTCTCTTCCCCCCCCCCCTTGAAGATAGTGGCCCAAGGGCGCTCCTTTCCTTGTTTCCTCGACCACTCGTCCGGATCCAACCGGATCTCACCCCTTTTTTCCCACCGCGGACGATCACGCCCATTCCTCTGTCAATAACAGTAAATCAACGTTTTCCTAATCGACAAGGCGCATTCTTTTCGATAACATGCAGAATACTTCCAGAAATTCGGTGATTCTGATACTGTGCGCGTTTTCAAATGATCACGTTTGTCCCCTTTTTTGGAAATAAATAATTGGCCCTTCGCACAGTGTAAACCGTACCTATTCGACAAGGAAAATAGGCACGCAGCGGAGCAGAACCGACTGTACACAAACGGACAACCTCCACAGAGGATATAGAAGCCCTACCCCCCTCAACACCGGCCATGTGTGCTGGGCTTTTCCTGCTCCACTAATACATCCAGAGGGCATTTGCACTTCCTGGGCCCAGTGGGGGAGGGTTTGCGGCTAGACGAGGGGCAGCGGGCGGCGGCGTGGGGTGGGGTGCTTGGCGCTCGTAGTACCAGCCATCGCGGGGGTCGCCGTGAACGCTAGCGGCGTGGCGTGGGGGGCCCCCGGGTTTCAACTAAGGACTCTCGGCCTGTGCGGATCCAGGATAACGATCACAGACCACACTAACGCGGTTGGTCGACTCAGGATCGTGTGTGCGCCGTATATGAGCGGAAGCAATTTGGCTGGAGCTGATTGAATCAGGTTAAGCAAGTTAACAGGTTGCACAGAGTTCAATAAATACTCTTGGGTGTTTCGCGTTTACTTTTATACTTAGCTAATGTGGGGTACTATGGCACAGGTGCGTCGCAGCGTTTAGAGTTAGATACCGCGAAGCCTGTTACGCGAGACGTGGTCTGGCGGTCTGACCCCCTTTTACCTTGTTGAACAGTGTAACAGCCTGAGCATGGGCAGGCAAGGCCACTGTAGTTTGTCGCTGTGAGCAGCCGCTGTGTCCACAGTGTTTACACCCGGAGAGCCCCCGGGTAAATGGGGTACAATCTCCAGGAGGGTAACAGCCTCCAGGAGAGTGAGGGCACAGCCCCCAAGGCAAAGTCTTCCGAGCAAAGCCTCCAGGGGGGACTGGAAGAGAGGGAACGGCTTTACCTACAGGGGGGACAGGGGGAGGAGAGGAGAGGGAAGGGAGGGGGAGTCACTCGCGTGGTGGGAAACTCTGCCACAGGCTGTGCTGTTATCGTTTAAAAATAGAGGTGGGAACACCTCGGCGCGCTCTCGCCTGCTTCCCGCCCCTTCCCACCCGCACCCAAACCTTGGACCGGCACCATAGACGCCAACGCGCCAAATTTACGCGTAGCGTGCGGGTCAGCACGCGAGATGGGTCGACTCAGCAGCTGAGTTGGGAACCCACGGGAAAGGGTTAGACGCGATAATAATCTGCCTGGTTTTCTGCGCGCACACTTTATGTAATCTTCTGAACTCTTCCAATACTCGCAACTATCAGAACCCCGTTTGGAAAGGGTCAGAAAAGAAGGCCCACGTTGATCACCCATCACCCATGCACCCTGTATATTTAACAACGAGGTGACGCGAGGCACTCGATGTCCAGAACAACGGATGGCGGTTCCGGGGAGCCTGGCTCGCGGATCCACCTCTGCATCTCCTCCTTCCGGGGAGAATGAGTTACGTGATAAGCAGTTCCCGGCGCCTGTTACTGCACGCAGTGGCCGCTCACGGCTCGGAGCGGCAGACAAACTGCACCAAAACCGACCAAAACAACTCTGGCAAGAAAGTTGTTATTGCCTCCATGCCGGTGCGCCCCGCGGACAAGGAGGGTAGTTCAGTTTAGCATCGGCAGAAGAGGATGCAGCGGCAGGCGAGCTGTTCCCGAGCATATTATAAGCAAAAATAAGCGGGGGGAACGGGCAGCGGCGAAGTTGGATAATAGCTTGTGCGCAACACACATTCCTCATGCTCCCCTCCAGCCCTCCCTCCCACTCCTCTCTTCCTCTCTCCCGCTCTCGCTCTCGCTCCCGCTCTCGCTCTCGCCCTCGCTCTCGCTCTCGCTCCCGCTCTCGCTCTCGCTCTCGCTCCCGCTCCCGCTCCCGCTCCCGCTCTCGCTCTCGCTTCCGCTCTCTCTCTCTCTCTCTCTCTCTCTCTCTCTCTCTCTCTCTCTCTCTCTCTCTCTCTCTCTCTCTCTCTCTCTCTCTCTCTCCGTCGACGACAGCTGTCTGCTCGTTAGCTGCTTGCTTGTAGCTCAGGAGGCATAACACGATGAGAAAGCGACGGTCGCTAAGGAGGGGCAGGGTGGCGACAGGGCTTGGCCCGGCCGGAGAATAGCGTTGCATGGCGGGGCGTGTAGTAGTATCAGGGCATGGCGGGGGCATGGCGGGGGCATGGCGGGCCACGGTCGGGCATGGCGGGGGACGGCGCACAGGTGCGACACAATACGAGCACCTCTCCAAGGGATGCCTGGCCTGGCACCGGCCTGGCACTGGCCCCGCACCGGCGGCGCGGCCGCGAGGGAAAATTTACACCGGAATAGGTCACACGCCGGCGCGCCCACGTAATTGCAAGGCAATCTTAAAATACTGTGGGAGTGGTGGCCTCAGTGCCGAAACAAGACAAACAACCGGCATTTCAGAAATTTTCCCTTTCTTATTTTGCTCTGTTTTAAGAACGACGTCCTTTCGCGACGAACCACCATCGCACTTGCGGGCGGGACACCCGGAGCGCGGGGAGGGGGTCGGATACACGGCGGGAGTGTGTCTTCCAAAAAATTTGCAGCGGTGCATGTATAGTTGAATGCGCTCCAGTGTTGCGGAATTGCAGGATTGCATACTCACTGCTAGGGCTACAGGGGCCATGGCTCTTTACGGACGAAGGGAGTAAGCAAACCCGCACCACTGCAGCGCATCCAAAGATACACCCGGTACACTGACATAGAAAGCCGCAGTTAATGTAAGCGCCTACAATTTTTTTCGGCAAACCACTTGGTGGAGAAGGAAATCGCAAACGGGTATACCCGAAAGTACGCCCTTTTGACTACACTTAGTAAATGATGGGTGTAGCTCGGCGCCTGCGAGATTCCGGGTAGGCCAACCCGCACTACACAGGAGCACTTCAGGCAAGATGTTGCCTACCTACAAGGCGCTATGAGAGCTGGCATGGGCTTGTCCCGGCAGATTCGCAACATAGCCTACTTGCTGGATGATCCCATTCAGCAACGCGATAGGTGTGATGGCAAAAGAGTTGCTGTTAAAAAAAACATATAGGACCTACGAACGGCTCTCATCATCTCCGTGTAAGTTGAGCGCCTACTCCGCTGTCGGTGTCGGCTCGCCTTTGCACATGGGCGGCACTTGGGGTGAAATAATTAGAAACGAGGGAAATAAGCTCCTTACCAAAGACGCGGGCTGCGTCCCAAACAACGTGATCGTGGTCATGACGGCGTTAAGGAAGCCTTAAGAGGGCTTTCGCATGGCTGCAAACGGTGCCAGCTGAATGACCCATATTGGAACCTTCACGTACCGTGTCATAGTGTCACGTTTTCGGTGTCAGACTGTTTATTTGGCGTCACTTTCGTCAGTAATCGTTGCAGGCGAACGGCACTTTAACTCTTGTAGTGCTGAATACTTTTCACGAAATAAATATATACACCACAAAATCCCTTTTTTAAAAAGGTTGTAAACTTGAAAACGAAAGTCCTGAAGCTGCGAAATTTGTTGACCCTAAACTTTAGGGAGATGCTAACAAAACTTTCCCGCCGTAAAGTAACGAAACGGAGTCATGACTTTACTGCTTTACTTTTACAGCAGCCACACGGAAGACCGGCGGCTTGCGTTAAAGACGAAGGGAATCTCTCAAGGCAAAACATTAAAATGCTCATTGCCGGGGGGAGGGGGTGAGGAGTTTGGGAATAATGTTCCCCCAAAGCCCTACAGCATAATTGTGATAATTTTTCAATTGGCCACCCGGAAGTACAGCAGCTCCCTGTACCGAACCGGACGCCACACGCACGCACCTGTGGTTCAGAATCCGCGCAGAGCCGGGCGGGGCCGGGCGGGGCCGGGCCGAGGAGCGACACGCCGTGGGTCGGGGCGCGGAGGGCGCGGGGGGCGCGGGGGCGCGCAGGGGCGCGCGGGGCGCTCTGGTGGCCGTCAACCTGCCGCGGCAGCCAGCCGAC